ATCATTTGGTTAATTAAGGCTGGATCTATAAACATCGCTGGCTGGAGAGGACGGATAGATGGATCTAGATAGATGAAAATAGATAGATCTGGAGTTCTGGTGCGTCTTTAACGCTGTGAAAATAATTATTATTTACTTTGGAGCATGCGGCGAAATACAGCCGCTTAGAAATAGAATACCGATTCACGTTGGGACAAAAAGGCAATTTATAATAATAGTAATCCAGAAACTTATGTTTCAACTCTAGTCCTTTCCGATTCCCAGCCTGTGGATTAATATTTATTTCTTCGCCACCCATGCAAAGTTAGATACCCTTTTCTAAAGTATGTTTATTTAAATGTGAGAGGAAGAGAAAATGCGTTGTTTTGAACTCTCCTGCTAAAATCAAGGGAGGGTGGGAAAGTGCCTAACGAGCTGGATCGTGACCTCAAATTTGAATACATTTTAGCCAAGGAGATAGATGGATAGATAAAACTATATATAAAAAACTCTCTGTGAAATATTAAGGTGGGTCGAAGAGACAGAGTATTTTGTGCGTGTGTATACACACACTTATTTTCTCTCTGCCTCTCTCAGATTTCCTGGTTGTGAACTACAGGCTATCCAGGCTTGGCAAGAAAGGATCGGGGTGGGCAGAGGAGGGGGGGGGGAAATTAAAATCCTGTTACTGTTATAAAAATATTTCCCAATGTAGAAACTCCGCAGGCGCCCACCTCCCCTCTGTTGGAAGAAAGTTCTACCAACACCGCCGGCCCCCCCCCCAAGCTTGGTTGGAGCTCCTTGAGGCGGGCGTCGTATGGAGCGCAAGAATCGGACCCCTTGAAGTTTTGCAGAAAAGGCCTTGTTTGGCTTGAAAGACACCCGCGCGGGGAATTAAAAACGGGTGTGGGTGATAGCGGCGGAGATGTCTGCCTGGGATTGTTTGACACACGCCTTGTGTTGTCTGCAAGGGTGAGTGTGCGGGGGGGTGGGGCGGTCAGCCCCTTTCTTGGGGTTGGGTGGGGGTAGGGAAGAGAAAGAGAAAGTGTTAAGTAATAATGCGCGTTTAACAAGCCTCATAAATCCGAGCGTGATGAGAAGCGCCCTCCGCTCAGCTCGGGCGCGGACGCAAAAGGAAGCCACCGTCCCCCTCCCTCTGCCTCCTCCATCTCCAGCAATGGCGGGGGGGAGGCGGGGGGCGGGGAGCCATTTTAAAAAATGGAAGATAAACCCGGCCCGATCCACCGCCCCAGTGAAGTTGGAGCGCTCGGGTTCTTCGAGCAGATTCGGGCACGATCCTGCTCAGTAGACCCACACTTTGAAAGCCCAGCTGAGACCGGTGGGAGAGGCGAGGTATCTTATTTCTTCCTTGGGCACTCAGCTGGCAAGAGCGGAAGGTTAAGCGCTTTGTTTGCAGAGTAAGGCCACAGCCTTCTCTCCACACTTACCTGCGGGCAAGTGCTAGTAAATTGCCTGTTGTTCTCCGTAGACACACGCGCGGGATGGAGACCTAAGAATGCTTTTGGTGGATCAGTTTTTATGCATCCCTTCCGATGATGATGATGATAACAGCATCCTTAAGGGACATTTAAATCTAACCACAAATCCCACACAAGAACTCTGATCCAAAGAGATGCCACTCCTAATGACATTTCCTTAGAAACACCCCACACCCCTATTGAATAGACTCAATTTCCAATAAAACTGGCGAGCCAGTTAGCCTCGCTGCTGTTCCCTGTAGTGCCCAGATTTGGGGCATGATCCGGAGTGAATTGAGGCCAGGTTTATACCTCTTCGACTGAATTTTGGAAGGATTTTTGTTGAAGGAGATGATCCTGAAAGTTCATTGGATCAGGCTTCCGCTGATAAAACTTAAACCCTTCTTTTCGGGGGTGGGGAAAAAGAGAATTAGTTTCTGCGTTTGTTTATAATAATAAAAAAGTTTTAGGTGTACTAAGGTGAATGTAAAAAGGTAAAAAGTATATGTGTATACACCTAGCCTCCCATACCATATTAAAATTACTGGAATTCTAAGGACACTTTGCAAATGATTTGTGTGTGTGTGTTCCTTTCTTTAACAAATAAATTAGACTTAACTAGACTCAGAGACTTTCTGGAGGGGTGGGGCGAATTTCTCAAAATCGTCACCTCCATGGGATAATTAATAAATAACAACAACAACAACAACAACAACAATAATAATAATAGAAAATCAGGAGGAAAATATATCTAGAAAAAAATACCGCGCGCGGGGTCCCCAGACCCAAAAGCGAAAAGTCAGCACCAGAGGCGCTTCTGGCTCCCATTGGTTTTAGCAGTGCGGAGAAGGCGCATGGGCTTAACTCTGCTACTGAAACCAATACTGACTTCCATTAGGCTGGATGGTGCTTTAGGTTTTCGCGAGCCAGACTTAGTTCCAGCCTGGAAGTGCTCAGCCCACAAATCACCCGCGTGTTGCCTGGCGTGAAAATAGGGCGGGGGGCGGGGCGGCGGTTGGGAATGGCAAGGCAGGCGCGCTTCCTTTTCCTCTCCCATCCCAGTCCCTGCAGGGGATGGTGTCCCTTTCGCCATCGCTGCCACACACACCCTCATCGCCACCCGCCTTTGCAAGCCTTCGCACACCCCTCCCTTTCCCAGCGGTTTATCACTGCCACCTCCAGCCTTGCACGCCGGCAGCAGGTTATCACAACTGCCAGCTCAATCTTGGCTGGCGTCTTCCGCCGTCCTCGGCAAAGCAGGGCTCCCTGCGGTGGAGCAGCCGCTCTGCAAAACATCTGGAGAAGATCAGAATCGCCGCGTGGATTTTATTTTATTTTTTAATTTAGCAAAATGGGTGTCATAAAACAATCCTCTGCGCACATCAGTCCCGCCAGACACCTTCTAGTCATTCCTAGGACTCCCCCTGCTTAGGTAAAATTCGACCAAGCAGCGACCCCTAGGCCTGGATTTACATGGTTTATCGAACCCTTGCCGGAAAGACATTTCTTAATTCGTTTTGTTTTAGTTATTTGTTGGTGGCAAGCAGTCTGAACCCGGGGGGTTGAACCAAATAATTGGACAGGTCCCTTAAGTCCACAGCAGAACCGTCCTTTCTTTCGTTGCGTCATGGCTAGCTCTCCATTCTCAGAATTCGAGATTTCTTAATTTGAGGGAGATGCCCGGGCAGTGGTTTTGAGAGGAGCTCCCGTGAAAAGCTGAAAAAAAATCCCCATTCATTTCGATGGGGGACACAGACAGAAGCGGGCGCTCGCCAAGAGAGCGAACCCCGCTGGATTTAGCACCGACCCTCCTTTCCGAATCCGCGCGCCCAGGATCCGGCTGCTCCACGCGCCCCTTGGCCTGGATCGAGCCCCCTACTCGCTGGCCGCCGCCTCCTCACCTCTCTCATCCGTTACCCGGAGAGAATTTTCCGGGTGAGAGAAATATAGTCCCATCCCTCCCTCTCGAACCTTGAAACTTCCTTTTATTTTCTCGCTCCCCCCCCTCAATCCAGGTGTGCCGCCCCCGCTACAGTCCCGATTTATACTAGCACATCACGGGAGCGTGGTCAAGTCGTCCTCGGGGGATCGGGCCATCTTTGCAGTAGGGGAGTGTGTCTGTGTGCGCGCGGAGTTTGGAGGGGGGGGTTAAGAATCGATTTGTATGTCCAAACTGGATTCACTCCGCATCAAGAGCTAAAAATCTTCGGTTGGCAAATCCAGGGAACCTTAATGTCACGCTTACAACGGTTCCGGATGCTTCATGGAACTTTTTAAAAGCTCCATTGAATTTAATGGGAGTTCAGCATACGCGTCCATCTCCCCATCGGAGTGTTTCATCTGCATTGGGAATTTGCTGGTTCTCGTCAATAATAATAATTATTATTATTATTATTATTATTATTATTATTATTATACCAACGATCCAGCCACGTTTAATTCGCATTTATTTCCTTGAGAGGAAGTGGAGCAAATCCACTGAAATGAGCGAGACCGGGAAGAGTTTCGCGGTGGCTGCCTCCAGACTTTTCTTTCTTTCTCCCAATGGATTTTGACAGTTGAGAGATCAGGGTCCCTGGATGAAGGAGGTGGGGCGGGGGGAGGTTCCAGCAAATTCGTAAGGGGGGAAAGGTCGTGAGAATGGAGGACAGCAGGACTAAGAAAATGCGCTGCGTTTGGTTTTGTTCTTAGAAGCCCCCGCGTCATGGCAAACAGTCTATCCTGCTTCCTGACAAATATACCCGTATGATCCACGTGTTTCGCTACACCCGTTTGTTGCATTCACAATTTGCATTGTTAGGTGTACAATGTAAACTGGCTGGGGGGCGGGGTTAGGTAACGTCTGAACAGGACCTGAGAGGCCAAGGATTGCCCACAAAAGAATGGCTGGTGTTTGGAATACATATAGGATGGCAAAAGAGGGTGGTGAGGAAGAAAACACAACATCTGAAATATTAATTAAATTACCCAAGAAGACAAAACAATTGCCAATATCCCAGTATATTGTTAACACTTTTTGTTTGTTTGTTTGGGGAGGGTAATGAAACCAGTTTCATCACCAGAAGTAAATCTGACAGTGCGGAGAAGGCTGCTCTGTGTTGTCATTTTATATTTTGAATTTATATCGGCGTGCTTTTATGGATGTAAGCCGCCTTGGGAGCCGGGAGCCCCTCAGAGGTCTGAAAGGCGGAGCATAGAGTCACAAATGGGTGCACCGTTCGTTGAGCTTCACGGCATTTAAAATCTTAAGAGAAGTGAGTGAGCGTGCTTTCTTGCTACTTCTCGATGGCTGGAAAACCGACGCACAAAAGAATTGCAAGTCTGGCGAACTGAACGGGAATTACGTCCGAGCAAACGTGGGCCGTAGCTCTTCCTCTGCTACTTGATGGACTGGGGTGGTTATTGTGCTTTTTGAACAACTAGACATCGGTTAGAGTTAGACGACCTGCCAGCGAAGGGTGGGCGGCGCCTCGCGGGGTCTCCTTTCACCCTTACCCGGGAGGCGCAAGGAAGCATCTCCAAGCGCAGCGTGCGCGGCCAGCCATGCCGGTTAGGCTCCAACCGTCGGAGAAAGAGCGGAAAGAAGACCAGGAGGAACTGTCCTGGAAGGCACGCCTGGCGACCGCTAGAGAAAGGGTGATCAGGGGAGCCTTCAAACCGGAGCTGAGCCGTAGCAAGTTCACGCCGTGGCCGGACAAGCGGCAGCAGCGCGCCCTGAGACGAAGCAAATGGCCTGACCTGCTCATCCGAAATCAACATCTCAGGGTGTGTTTCAAAACTCAGTTGTATTTTCAGAGATATTGCTTTATTAATCCCCAGAGGGTCGTCTAAATATGGGCGCACTTCCTTGCGCTCCTTTACAAAAAGCCACAGCAAAATCCAGGGCAAGAATTGCCTTATAACCCCCCCCACACACACACTTAAAACTAAAACAAAAAAGCAAGAATGGGGGTTACTAACAGAATCTTCCACTCCCCCCCCACTTGGGAAGATGAAAAGGACTTTAAAAAGTTTTATTTGATGAGAACTCGGAAGGGAGACCTTAATTGTCTTAGGAGGGTGTGCATATATTGTGAATATTTCTTAATATGCGTCTATTTGTGAAGCCTACGCTGACACAAAGGGATGGTGGAGCGAGATCTGGAGTGGTTCCGAGCGTGTGTGGTGTTTGTGCAGTTTGCACTAATTAAAAAACACACACACATAAATATATATACACACACGCTCACACATGCACATGGGGGAAATTACTGGGAAGTTGTAAGCAAACTAGGTCCATCCTCTACAAAATAGAGGATAAAGGAAAGAAAAGGAGGAAAGTCCCATTCGCTGGTTGGGCCACTCACTCTCCAAATAGTCCCCGAGCTGAGGAGGATCCCGTGCTAATGGTGGGAAAAGACCAATCCCCTTGATTTTCCTTTCTTTTTTTATGAAGGGGGCACACCGAGGCTGCAAAACAGCAAAACCCCAATGTTGGACAGCTGTAAAATCGTGTAGACAGGTTGTCATACAGCAGCGGGGTTTTTTTCCCTGAAAGTAGCCCATTGCTAAACATTAAATACACACACACACACACAAAACACAGTAGACGTACACACACACACACACACACACACACACACACACATATCAAGGCAAAGTGGCCCGGGCAGGATTGCTTAACCACGTGCTCCTCCGAAGGGGGGTTAGGACGGGACGGGGGTGGGCGGGGCTTGGCGCTCAAGTGGGTGCCAATCAAAGCATCAACTTCAAATTGTATCTGAAAGATCAGCCGAGGACCTTAGGGCAGGCGCATCAGTCGGAGCTCAATTGTTGATCAGATCACATCTAAGGGATTTAGGAGCACAGGCGAGCCGAGAGTTGAGGGAAGACGCCCCACCGAGTCCATCCACACGCGCTGCCGCTGTCTCCTCCTCCTCCTCCTCCTTCCTCCTCCTCCTCCTCCTCTTCCACATGCAGATGACAAGATCCGTCTGAGAGAGCGAGCAAGAAGGCGAGAAAAGAAAGCAGAGCCCGGAAAGAAAAAATACCAGACGGGGGCTCTTCTCTCCGCCCGGCAGCTGGAGAAGGAGAGAAGGCAGGCAGGCAGGCAGGGGCGCGCAGTCGACAGCTAGCTAGCGAGCGAGCCAACCAGCCATCCCGGGCTCTCCCGCGCCGTCCCAGACCCGGCTTGCCCGCCCGCCGAGCGCCGCTGCCCCGTCCGCTTCGACTTCTGGCTCCGTGTCGCCCCGTCGGCGGTGCGTCTCGCTCCTCCTCGCCTGCACGCCCGGGATGTCCTTCCCGCAACTGGGCTACCCGCAGTACCTCAGCGCCAGCCAGGCCGTGTACGGCGGCAGCGACCGGCCCGGGGTGCTGGCGGCCGCCGCCGCTGCCGCCGCTGCCGCCGCCGCCGCTTCGGGCCGTCCAGGAGGCGCGGAGCTCAGCAGCGGCTCCACCGCCGCCGTCACCTCGGTGCTGGGCATGTACGCCGCGGCCGCCGCGGCCGGGCCTTACAGCGCGCCCAACTACAGCGCCTTCCTGCCCTACACCGCAGACCTCAGCCTCTTCTCGCAGATGGTGAGTTCGCATCCGACGGGGCGGGCCTCGGGAGGGAAAGGGCGCCCCGGGGAAAACGCTTCCCCCAAGGCCCTCGGCTGCTGGGCGCAGGATTGGGAGGGCCGGAGGAGCTGCCTCGTGGCCCGCTGGAGCGCGACGCGCCGGGAGCTTTTCTTCCGAGGGCTCCCAGGGCGAAGGGCTGCGCAGGCTTTTCTCGTCTCCTTAGGGGCCGCAGCGAGCTCACCCCCCCACCCGTCCATTATTATTTGCTTCCAACCCCATCCGGAGAGGAAACAAGCCCCACCGGTGACTCCGACCGCCGGTTATTTCTCTCGCGCGCTCCTTCTCCAGTTGCAGCCTCGGGCTGGAGGCGCCTTCGCCTCGCCGACCCGCCGCCGGAGCCGCTTGCCGCGGGAAGTTTCCAAGGTTTTAATTAATTTGCAGCAATTAAAGCGCGGTTAAGAGAGGAGGCGCGGAACAGCGCCGAGGCTCCCCCCCCCCCAAAAAAAATCTCCAAACAAACCAGGCGCGCGTTTGCCCTCCTTTGGTCCCAGATTTCTTTTCTTAGCGGGTTCGCCGTATGATTTTTCTTTCGATCCCACGAACTTGAGCGGAAAAACGGAGTTGTTCCTTTGAGCTCCCTGCCCCCCCTTCACCTCCCCCGCGATATTTATCCATTGCAAATCCCTCCGGATTCTCCCCGCTTTCAGAACGGCACATTGATAAACTATGGAAATGATTCTTGGGATATTGTTTTAAATTCAACAAGCAGGGTATTAGTATTGCTGTCGTTTCGGTTTTTGTGGTGGAAATATTTTAAGGGCATTTTACGCAGACTTGGTTAACTTATTTGTTTCGTTTTACATATTTTACATATTTCTGTTCGGAATGTAAATGCTAACAGAGAATCAGTAACGATTTTCCAAGAAGTAATTTCAGCAGTATTCCCAGGGGGGATTTTGCTATCATAGCAGCAACAATAACAAACAAATACCTTATCAAAATTAAGGCAAGGCAAGAAACTCGTCCTATTATGGTTTTGTTTTTTAAACCATGCTTGTGTTTTACATAGGGGTGTGTTTCTTTGTGGTTTGTGCAGATTGTGGTAAGTTTATTCAGAATAAGTAAATTTATTTGGTAAGGATATGCCCTACTTCCCTACAAAATAAATATGTTGGGGTTAGTTTTTTGTTTATTTATCCGTTGTTTTTAAAAAATAGGAATTATTTTTTGCCAGTTGAAATTATAAAAAATAAATCATATGCTAAGGTATATGGAATGATTGGAATAATATAGGAAAATGAGAGGCTGAAAATCAGCTCTCTCCATTCTCACTTATTCTATGCCAATAAATGAAGAGTAGAAGCAGTAATGATTTTCAAGTAGCTACTTCAAAAGAATTCCCAACAGGGGAATACAAAATTTATCATTTCAGCCACAAGAACAAAAATCGCTCAACGAGATAAAGGGAGTGTAACAAGCATGCCCGGATAGAGTTTTTATTAAATATTACATTTTGCCCTTTCCAGATGGTGTATATACATTGTTTTTTCTCTTACATTTTCTCTTGTGAGCTTGCTCCAAATAAATCAAATTCTTTGCAAAAGTGTATCAGGCTTTTTCACTCAAATGGCTTTTTGTACGCACACATTTAAAGCAAGCAAACAAAACCTTGCAGGTCACCAGAAAAAAAAAATCTATCTTTAAAATAGGACAGATTAAATGACTGGCCACCAATAAGATAAAAAGCAGAAAATTCTTTTGACTGAGAGGAGGGGAAAAAATGCTATTCATAGGTCGCTTTGCAACCTTTGCTCCCATCAGCAGTTCCTAGAAAGCAGGGCTCAGTTCTAAAAAGGTGCCTAGACTTTGAGGAAGTTTGAGGAATGGAGTCATAAAAGTGTGTGTGTGTGTGCGCAATTTGCAGTAATAATGAGGCCTAATGAGGTTGTTAGAAAGATAAAATGTTATTTACCAAAACACCTGATGGGCTAATTTGACTTCACTGTGTTTTACTGCTGATGATAAAAAGTATATTGATTGAAAATAAATCACCTCTGCTAAAGGCTTGCAAAAAGGAGGGTAAAAGGTGTTTTGTCCTCCGAGGAGGAAAGGATTATTGAGGAAGGCAGGGATACACATATCCCAAATAGAAAGGTCGGTGTCTCTCTCTCTCTCTCTCTCTCTCTCTCTCTCTCTCTCTCTCTTGCTACCAAGAGCACCATGAGACTCTCAACTATATGGACAAAGGCCAACTAAAGTTTAGCATTTGAAAGTCCCACTGTTTCCAATGGGAGAGAAGGAAGTGTGTGGTGCCTCTTCCCTCCTGAAATAAGTGAGCTTTAATGTGCTTAACTCTGGCTTGGCTTGGCTTGCGCCTTGTCGCTGCCTGTACAGTGTTAAGAGGGGATTCAGAGCGCAATCCCTCTCTCGTTCCCATCACTTCTCTTTTGTGAAGCCCCTCTTTAAAGTGCTGCTGGGGCTGGGCAGGAATCTGCCCTGCTGTCTGTTGCACCAGACATGCCCCAGAAGCCTGTGATGCACTGATATTATCTTTCTCGATGTGGGTCAGTGCTCCTTTAAGGGTGCCTGCTTATTTTTAACAGCACAATAAATATTGGCTCTTGGATGCAGGCTTGGAAAATGAGGCTGGATCAGGGAGTGAGGGCACTTTTTCAATATTCTTTTAGCTTGGTGCAAAGAGACCTCTCTCCCTCCCTACCCACCCTCTGGAAAACCATTTGGGAAAGCTCCCGATTTAAAACAGAAAGGCAGGGCTTGTGCAATGGGAGGACCTGACCTCACTCTCTGTTTCTTTTTTGGCTTCTCTGAATGTGTCGCAGGGCTCTCAGTATGAACTGAAGGACAACCCTGGGGTCCATCCTGCGACTTTTGCTGCTCATACCACCCCTGGTTATTATCCATATGGACAGTTCCAGTATGGGGACCCTGGGAGGCCCAAGAACGCCACCCGGGAGAGCACCAGCACCTTAAAGGCCTGGCTGAATGAGCACCGCAAGAACCCCTACCCCACCAAAGGCGAGAAGATCATGCTGGCCATCATCACAAAGATGACCCTCACACAGGTCTCCACCTGGTTTGCCAACGCCAGGAGGAGGCTCAAGAAGGAGAACAAGGTCACTTGGGGATCGCGGAGCAAGGACCAAGACGATGGAAACCTCTTTGGGAGTGACAACGAGGGGGACCCTGAGAAGAATGAAGATGATGAAGAGATTGACCTGGAGAGCATTGACATAGACAAGATCGACGAGAACGACGGGGAACAGAGCAATGAGGAGGAGGAAGAGAAGGTAGAGCTTCTACGACAAAGCAGCGAGGAAGAGCATTTGGAGAAGGAGAAGGCCTTGACGCTGTCAGGCCCTGAAGGACTTAAACCCAAAGAGGCCCTGTCCCTGGTGAAGGAGGCCTCGGACAATCCCACCCGAATCCTGAGCCCCAGTAGGCAAAATACTCTACAAGGCCCACTTCACAACAAGCCCAAGATCTGGTCTTTGGCAGAGACGGCCACCAGCCCAGATGGGGCCCTCAGCAAGCCAACTCCTCCTTCACCCCCCGCCCAGGTTAACCACACCTCTTCCCAGCTCCAGCACCCGGCTTTCCTCCCCAGCCATGGACTGTACACCTGCCAGATTGGCAAATTTCACAACTGGACAAACGGGGCGTTTCTGACCCAGAGTTCCTTGTTAAACGTGAGGTCCTTTTTGGGAGTTAACCACCACCACGCTGCACACCACAACCACCACCTTCAGGTCCAGCAGCAGCCCCCCTCGGTGTTAACAGCTCTTAGCACTGAAAAGTCTTCAGAGAGGACGAGCCCTAAACACATAGGTAATGTGAACAATGGAGGGAGAAGGATACTTGGTGGGCGGGCTGTTTGTTGTGTAGTTGAAGGTAAGTCCCACGGAGTTGGGACTTAACTCGGTTAGCCTGATCCAGATTGGGAGGGGGGGTCCCAAAAAGCCTTTTGTAGGCCTTGACTATAGCTTATTGATGGTCAGGTAGCTTCTAAAAACCTCCAGCTCTTTCTAAGGGTGGTGATGGAGACACAGTCCCTAGTGTATAAAATATAAGACTCTTCCAAGAAGACTCTTGATACCTTGAGCTACTTATAGTTTTGCAACAGTTTTCCTGTTTCCTTATTTATTTTGACTTCTGTAAAGAGGATGGCAGGGCAGACACATCAGTCCAGCCGATGCATGTTGACCCAGGAGTAAGATTCCATGAGTTCAGTGGGACTTCCTCTACTTCCCCCTTGGGGAGAAACAAAACAATCATGAAATTCCTTAGGATCCCTTCCTGTCTTCCCCCCTCATTTTATTCAACTTTTATCAATAGTGGGTGATATAAAGTAAAACAAAGAGGAAGCAATTTATGTTACACTTTTGGATGGTTCAAAGTTCATTTTCTTAACAATCCGTACCACAACCCTGTAAGGTAGGTGTGGGTTACAGTGCTGATGGAGAGCAGGGGAAACTGACTGTTTTGCCTAAGGCCACATTGAGTTCATGGCAGAGGCCAGATTTGAAAAGGGGTCTTTCTGGTTCACAGCTCAGTCACTCAGCCACGGCATTACACCATGAGGTGAGGGGAGAGAAGGAAGGAACATGACATGAAACTTGCAGACATGGTGGGGTAATTTTATTGCATGTTTGTCTCTCTGTATAAGCAAACTTTGCTAAGACATTTCCTCCCTTCCCCTTTCTTCTTTTCTTTCCTCATCAGAAAGAGAAAACGTACCAAGAACCGACTCTCCACCTCAGCAGTTAAAATCTCCCTTTCAGCCTCTCCGGGACAAGTGAGTTCTTGTTCACTGAAATTTACTTAAAGGAAAGAAAGTGCTTGGATAACACAGACTAATCCAAGCACACCCTCATTATCATAAATCAAAGCAACAATCAAGCAATTTTGTAAAGCTTTTCAAAGTGGCATAAACTTACAGACCATATACTTTAGCTCGAAAGTTTGGGGTGTGCTTTTTAAAAAGAAACTGAATCCCCCCCCCCAGCCACCGCCCCCAATGTCACCGTTGCGTTTCTATTGTGTAAAAATATATATTCCTAGTCTGTTCCCTAATGCAGATGGGCGAGCGTAGCTGAGCTTTCACTGATAGATGGTTCTGTCTTTTCTTTCCAACAGCTCTTTGACTCAGCAAGAGGGAACATCGTGAATTTTAACAGCTCTCCCTTCTGCTTGATTAAATGGCGTGTTCTTTCCCCCCCTTTTTGGTGGAAAAGAAAATTTCACAGACTGGTCTAAAGGACAAAACAAAAAAAGTGGAAATTATCTAAATGACTCCCACCAATCTCATTTTTGCAATAAGGTGGTATCAATCCCATTTCAAAAATATATATATCCCAACTCCTCAAACTGGACTCTCCCCTTTTCCTTTATTCCATTTTCAGAGCGTGTAATTCTAACCACAAATGGATTATTGGTTTTGGTAAAGATTTCTCATGTGTTTGTGTTATTTTTTTTCTGTATATAAAGTGATTTCGAATTGTAAATAATGCCACAGCAAAAACTTGTCTAAATCGTATATTTTTGTCTAATAAACAAAATGAAATTATGACCTCTCCCTGGACAAATGAGTCTTGGTGTTGCTCAAAATGCTTCTTGACAAGGCTTTCAATGTTCGTAGGACTGCAAGTATTAATTGATTTAGGTTGGTAGGTTAATCAACTAAACCTTTGGCTGATTAATCCTGGGAGAAGTGGCAGGGCCTGATTTGAAATCATTGGGCCTATGAGTGAATTCTTGCTTCTTTTTGAGAGCGCTTTGATTCTAGTGTGTTGCTGTGATAGAAAGGAATGAGAAAGAATAATCTAGAGAGATTTTCTTCCAACACAGAATGATAGCTTTTAATGTATAAAAATGCTAAGTTATTTCAAAAATATATTTGTTCTGAAAATTCAGGAACATGCAGATATCTCTGAATCATTGAATCAATTGTTTAAAAGGGCAGATGATAAAGGGGCTAAAAATTCTTTAAATGCTTATGAAAATTTCCAGTGAATTGCACCTTATTTATTTGCACATTTATTAATTTTTTGCCTTGATCCTGGGAGGGAAATATCCTGTCTCATATGGAGCTCACGCCAATCTGTATTTTTATATTATATTTATTATTAACATTATGCACAATGCCCACACCAGTTTGGCAGCCTCCAAATTTCTTGCTATTTTGCTAGCTGGGAATTAACTCTTCCTCTCATGAGAAAGGTTGTTGTTTTCCCTCTCTGAAGGGGAGGATAGGACAGATTGCAGCGCAATACTTTCCCAAAACAGGCCTGGCGTCCAACTGGTCTGTGTATTCCCAACTAGTGAGTAAATCTCCACTCCGAAATATTGCGATAGGTACGGAAGGAAGGAAGGTGTTTTCTCTCTGGTTGTGAGGCGGAAAAACTGAGATCCAGCAAATAAGCTGGGGCTGCAGAGATTGAGTTTCTATCTCGAGCGGGCGGTTGAGATCTCCCCCTCCCCTCTTTATGTGGAGTTTCGGTCGAGATCCTTGTAGCAAGTGGAGAAAAAAGAGATTTATTTTTTTAAGTCACCATCCTGTCCGGAAAGAAGAAAGGAGGAGCGCTATGGTCTCCAGCCCTCTGCTTCAGGAGGGAAAAAGGAGACGAGAGCTTCTCAAAGCTCGGCTAATCTCTCCAAGAGCAGCCCTTGAAAAAAGTTGCAATATTTTTCGAGTGGCTTCCACACGCACCTCTCTCTCTTTCAGGCCCCCCCCCCGGACTTTCCTCCCCTTCCTAAATGAGAATGCTAAATGAGCATTGAGGTGCTAATCAGATACCAGATGGTTGTTGACGGTGGAAAATGGAAAGAAGCAGCTGGGGAAGTCATTAAAAAATCATGCTGGAGACAGCCTATCCGAACTGCGCCATCCTCGGAGCAGGACTTGTCGGAAACCAGGACGAGATTTGAAATCAAATATTAATAAATTCCCCATCAAGGGTGACAATATTGATCTGGTCCCCCGCCCCACCTTTTTCTTTCTCTCTTTCTCCTCCACTCCCTTTTCTTTCACTGCAATAGCACTGAACGCTGAAGAGGGTGTCTTTCTTTCTTTCTTTCTTTCTTTCTTTCTTTCTTTCTTTCTTTCTCTCTCTCTCTCTCTCTCTCTCTCTCTCTCGCCCTCCTCCTCTCTTCTCTCTCTCTCCCCCCCCCCCCCAGTCAATTTGCCGCGGTTGTGGATTTCTTTTTTTATGGAACAGCGAGCGGCCGGCTGTTCCTGCGAGGAACTTTCCGCCCCTGCGAGTGTAACCCAGGAAGGGCCAAAAGAACCAGGCTGGTTCTAGTCCTTTGTAAATAGGTCAGGAATTTTTTTTTGGGGGGGGTGTTCGTGTTCCCAGCTCTTCAACACTTTTAGACCCTGTTAAGCGCCACGCAAATCCATCCCCTGCGCCTTTAGAAGGGAGAAAGTCCCGCTGAGTTCAGTCGGGCTTCTTGCCGAGTAACCGTTTACTCAGAGTAAGTCCGATGGCGTCCTGCACGAATTCTTCTCAGGTTAAGCCGGCCTAGAATCGCAGCTGAAGTGCGGAAGAGGCTCAGGCACCTTTTAAATTATGAAGTGGGGGCGCAACCCAATGCAGAGGCGTAGCGCGATCCTAAACATATTTACTCAGAAGGAAGCCCAGCTCGGTTCTAGGGGAGACTTGCTCCCTAGGAAGCGGGTAGCTTCCGATTGCAGCTTGAGGTGTGCTTTAAGTTGAACTGTGAGGCGTCCTTACTTGGGCGAAAACACCGCGGGAACCGAATGGATTTGCTTTTTCAGTAACCATGCTTTAGGATCCAGCTCTAAGGTTATGGAAACACAGGGCATTAAACGTTACCAGATTTTTTCCCCAATGAATCCGGGGACACTTTTCAACTTACTGCTAAATAGATGGAATTTGTCAGGTGACTGATTTGTAAATCCGGGGACTGTCCCCGGGAAACGGTGACACTAGGTTTCCTTATTAGGCCTGTCAACCTCGGAGTAAGTCGCAATGATCTCCATTTCTAGGCGCCCGATGAGGATCGCGCCCTGAGTGCGCACACCCAAACCTGACAATGAGTCTCATTGAGCCCAGCGGGATTTACCTCTGAACAATATCCTTTGTTGTTGCATTGCTTCTTCCGGAAAGTGATTTCGTTTTTATTTTTGCAAACTTTAAAAATCTCTCTTCTCAAAAACCTCCTGCAAATGGATGTTGGGGAGGAGGAAAGTTTTCGCATTTGCGCAGCAATAAACCTCTCGCAAATTTGAGAAGCGGTCCGGTTTCAAATCGGGTGGGAAACCCGAGTGTTGAGATTGCTGCGTTACAGCGGGGTTGGACTAAATGACCCTCGGACTCGCGGTCCTTTCCAATGTTACCGTTTTATGATGCTGTGAAAGGGAAACAAATAAAAGCGCAGGGGAGATCGGAAGACCCAACGTCTCCCGGACTTACGCGCACAGCGGCGAGGAAGTCTAGCGAATGAGCTTTTTCCCACCTGGGGTTCAGGGCTGATTTTCAAGGCAGGGCACGGGTAGGGCTTTCTCTTGGCAAGCTCTCCAAAATCTGACCACCCCACTAGCTCCGAAAAGTGACCGGCTTATGTTTCCAGGGTCCGGTACGGGGATCTTGTGCAGGCAGAGAACGCGGTCCCACATGAGCTTCGCTTCCCAATTGAAAGCAAAAGCGGGGCGGGGGGCTTTCGGCGTCCTTGGAGTTGCGCGTCTATGTCTGGGTTGTTTTTTTTTACGGGGTGGGGGGCTGCGCATTGGAAGAAGCGGTTGCGCCGAACTCGCGGTTCTTCCTCTCCTTTGACAAGGCTCTCAGCGCCCTCTGTAGGCTCGAGGCGGAATGGTTCCCTCCTCAGTCCCGAAAAGACAACAACACGAAAGCAACCTCTCCAGTTATTTACTTTTCTCTAACCTCTTCCGCGGTGCCGATTGCGGGGGCCCGACAACCTTAGTGCAATAATGAGATGCAGAGAAAGCGCTGGTATTTGCAGTCCTGTTTAGAATTAACTCTCAGCCTGGGTGCATTTAACTGCGGCGCTTTGCGCAAATCGGTGTGGAATCCGTGCAACAGGTCTGTTCAGGGGGCTTCGTTCAGCCTGAACTTCGGGGGTTTGCGGGCAGAGGAGCAGGGAACGTGGTGATCCAAACAGAGCGAGGCGCTTCTGAAATTGCCCCATTGATTTGAATGGGGAAAATCAGCCGCATGAATCCTATGCAGGATATATATATATATAGACCGACCACCTCTCCAGCACCTGAACCAATGAGTGCAACAAAAATCCTTGCTTTCTTGATGGGGTATTTAGAAAGTTCTGTTTTGTAGACCTGTCAGTGGTAATGCATAACGCAGCAGTCATTCCAACAGACTTGCAAGGTAGGACAATAGCGGCAGCCCCAATACTGAGCGTGAGAGATCAGTTTGTCTAAAGGATGATGGGCGACTCTTCCATTGAGCAAAATTGCAATCTCCATCCTTGACTTGAGAATCTAGGGAGATAATTATGTGTTGTTGTTGTTGTTGTTTAATGTCATTTTGTCTTAATCCAGCACTTGCGGAACAGAAAACATATATTAATCTGATTATTTTGCTGTTCCGCACGTGCTGGATTTAAAGGAAGAATATTTGTCGTTATCCATCAAACCTTAAGGAATAGTTCCGTCGAAGTAGGTGTAAAATCTTCTATTAAAAACAAAACAACCCCCCCTCCAAATACCCTCCATTGAAGTTTAGAGCCCTAGGCATATTTACCTGGCGAGTAAATCCCATTAAAATGAGTGAGAGATTTTTCGGAATAAACTTGCATTGGTCCGGGCTCCCAGCGATTGGGTTTATCCAGGTCTCTCCAGACCCCATTCTTGTCACAATTTCGGCCTGGAAAAACCTGGTGCAACGCTTCCCCCTTCCATATATACATATGGCAACAGGCAGCAAACATGCATGGATCTGTGCTGCTAAATGCTGGAAGTTTTCTGTCATTGAGGAAATGGGAACATCGGACTAGATTAACCTGCTTGTTTTTTGGCAACCGTTTGAATTCTTACTCTAGCGAAAAAACAAAACTCCTATTCATCTCCTCCGAGGACGGGCTGCCTACTTCAGTCCCTTAAAAAAAAAAAAGCCATTCACAAGCGCCCCAAACACTTCCTCTTGTAAACCCAGAGGCAGCAGCACAATAAACATTTTTTTCTCGACGTTTTAATAAATTCAGTCTCCACCTCGCCTTCTTTGCAGTAACCCTCTCCCGTAAACGCCTCTATTCTTTTTATTAGGCATTTCCTTTAATTTTATTTTTTTTAAAATCTCGACTGGCTTGCGTGGCAAAGGGAGAGAATTCTCCCCCATATCCCTAGATCGAGAGTGGCACTCCGGTAGTTGTGAGGATTCGAACTCGCCACATCCTTGACCCCCTGGCCAGGCCGGACCTTAGAATCCTACAGGAAACGGGTCAGGACTTTAGAGTCCGATTCTAAATAGGTTTAATCAAAAGCAAATTCTACTGAGCGCCATTCCATGTACTGATCTGCTGTTTAATAGGGTTGGCAAGCTTCCTCCATA